TTCAGATTTGGCAAAGTTCCGCACATCCCGAAATTTAGAAGGAAAGTTCGGCGAAAATTTGGCAAAAATTCGGCAAATGTTTGCGCGCGCACACGAACGCGACGGGGCCATGGATCGCAAATGGACGCTGCGCAGTCGCGCGGTTACCATCGTACAGTTTAGTACAACCAGCGGTTACGGCGAGGTGTGGAGTAGGCGACACGGTAACTGTGCGTTTGTGAGCTTTCGCAAGTGTGGTTCTCTTCAATATTTTTTGCCTCAAGAACAGAAGATCAACCAGTAATTTACGCAGTCCACTGCGCAAGTGACAGATGATGCGGTGCATTCTGGATAACGTGATTTCTATTTGACGTTTCCATTAATGGAACGAGGTAGTTGAAACATTGACTGACAACTCACAACTACGCTCACTGCATGCGCAGCCCACTGCCGTCAAACGGGGCAGAGTCACGAGAGCTTTCCAGAATATATGGGATGCAGGTGGCATCCTGGTCATGTGATACATGTTTCCCCCTTCTTCTCTTTCCTTTTTACGCACTTTCTGTAGAGTCTATATCCTGTACATTTATACACCGGTTTTGTTTTTTCACATATGCTGGCGGGCTGGCAGGCGCTTTGCGTAAATGTTTTTACCTATCTACCTAGCCCGGGCCGCACAACACAACATGGGCCCCTTCCAGTTTGTGCAAAGGAAATTATTATTATTATTATTAATATAATACATGCATACATCTATTGATTGCCTAGCCCGCATACATGTATTGATCATGCAAAAGAGATGCAATAAAATTATTATTATTATTATTATTATTATTATTATTATTATTATTATAACGAAGCTAGTTTCGGCTCACAAGTAGTTTGCGCCAAAACAGAATAATATTGCTTTATAGTTTGCGTTATTTCGCGATTTTCATGTATCTGCATAGAACTAGACGCAGAACTATCTATTATGCCCTCGACGTTGCACATCCGACATTCCTAACTCTCCCCCCATGTTCCTAAACGTCCGTGTGTGTCCTAACACCAGAAACCGGAATTTGAAAGGTTAAAAACGGCACGTTGCGAATATGGAACGCACACTTTCATGCAAAGCTGACGTCAAGTGACTCAAATCGAAAAACATGCATATTTACAATATCGTTATCTCTTTTGGTGAAGGCTCAGCAACCGTCGCATTCGTTTTCGCGCACGAAATGGCGACTCGCAGAGAAATTAAGAACGCAGGGATTGCCTTTATTTTAACAATGTAAACACACTTGCGGGCGGGCGCTGATGAAGTCTCAAAATCAAAACTCTGGTACCGTGATTCGTGACTGCGCCGGCTACTACCCATTCTCGTTGTCACGCCACTTTCTGGAAGCAGACACTAAAATTGCATGTAAACACACAAAAGCGACACCGATACAATTATCTTGCAGTATATCACCTCAAATAGTAATAAGTGTGTCAATAGGCACTACATGTTGTATTTAAGTTAAGAAGAAAAAACATAAGCCTTTCTCCGTGAGAAAAAACTAAATATTAACGTTAAGTCTGGAAAATAGCTAACGTAATACCTGTTCACAAAACTGGTGATCGCCAAGTAATAAGTAATTACCGTCCCATCTCTCTCACCAGGGTTCCACTTAAGCTTATGGAGCATATACTTTACTCAAATATAATAAACTTTCTTGACTCTCACAACCTTCTTTTTGAACATCAGCACGGATTTCGTAAATCTTACTCTTGCGAAACCCAGCTAACCGCCTTCCTTACTGATATTTACTCAAGCTTTGATTCGAATATTCAGACCGACGCCATTTTCACTGGCTTCTCCAAAGCATTCGGCAAAGTACCACACCAACGTTTTTTTAACAAAGCTTAACGATATTAATATTCATCCCTCTGTTGTTAAGTGGATTTCTCAATTTCTAATTAGCCAGAAGCAATATTCCTCCGTTAACAACGTAAAATCTCCCCACTCTACCGTAACGTCACGTGTCCCTCAGGAAACCGTACTTGGCCCCCTTCTGTTTCGAAGCTATAGTAATGATCTCCACCTTAATATAAGTTCTTCTGTGCGCCTGTTCGTCGACGATTGTGTCATTTAACGACCCATTCTTTTATACCGTGATCATCATGCTATCCAGGAAGACCTTGAATCTGTAATCCATTGGTGTGAAAAATGGCAGATGACGTTAAACTTGAATAAATGTAAATCCCTGTCATTTTCCCGCAGTTCGCGTGCCACACTATTTTTGAATTACCTCACTAACGATCAAGTAATAGCATGTTCATCATATAAGTACCTGGGTGTTCATCTCACCTCTGACCTATCATGGACTACTCACATAACTTCTGTTATTTCTGATACTAACCGTTCTCTCGGATATTTGCGCCGTAACCTCAAACTTGCCACACCCTTCGTAAAACAACTAGCGTATACTATTCTTATAAGATCGAAGCTAGAATACGCCTCATCTATAAGGTCCCCATGGCAGTCCTACCTTGCAAATAACCTAGAATCCGTCCAAAACAGAGCCTTTCATTTCATTTATAAGAACTACTCACCATATACCAGCACATCAGGACTACGTCAACCCGCTAAGCTTCATTCACTTCCCCTTCGCTGCCGAGTATCACGCCTTTCTCTCCTCCATCGAAATTCTTATCACAATATCTATCTCAAAGAATCACTGTTATCCCCTCCCCATCGTATTTGTTCGAGTCTAATAACCTGTAAATTCCGTCCTATTCAATCATCAACTGTTTCTCACCAGAGTTCCACATAACCATTGGCCGTCGAGGATTGGAATTCACTACCTCATAACATCGTTTCTATTAGTGATACTACTAAATTTGTTGAAGCCATTACCCTCTCTTTATCTAACCTACCTAGCTAGCTTACAGTGTTATAATTGTGATTACTGTTCTATTTGTTTTTGTTCTATCACCACCCCCTTGTATAATGCTCCACGGGCCCTTAAAAAAATAAATGATGATGACGATGATGAACAGTGTATCTGTTCTTTATCTTTATCTTCTGTATCTTTAGAAAAGTTCGGCAAAAGCGAATCCCAAGATTCGGCAAAAGTTCGGCCCATCACAAGTAAAAATATACGACCCGGAGAGGGGGGGGGGGGGGGGGGGGTTGGTTTGCCCCCCCACTCAAAAACAAGTTGATACGCCACTGGTGATGCCGTACATCTTCGTACCGCTATCACATGCAACGTCAGTGCTTGAAGACATTGAAAACTAATTTTACCTAACCAACGTGCCGGCGGGCGGTCGTTCCTGTATTACTACTGCTTGATGCACGTTGAAGACCCTAGGCTGGCACTGGCACTGGACTGGCGGTATTTCTCGTCCACAACATGTGTGCAGACAGTTGTTGTATGACCAATATGGGGACAGGAGACGTACAAGAAAGGAACACCTTTCAGACAGTGTCTGCGTACCGTCTTTTGTAATAGTTGACTGTGTAGCAGCAAGCACCACTTTTTTGTCACCCAACTATTCTGTAGGCACTGATGCATTGTTAAAAAAAAAAGTTTGATGAGTCAATTAATGCGTGGCCGGTTTAGGATATAGGTGCGCAGACATTACTTTCATCCTTTCCGACTGCTGTTCCGAGTCCCCCCAAGTCGTCTCGTGTCGTAGGCGTTGCTTTTCCCCTGCTCGTCGTGTACAATGTGCTTTCTTCTTCGGCGGAGCTCCTTCTTCTCGTACGTTTAGTCTGCCATGTGCAACCGGATTCCCCCCCAGTCGTGTCGGCGGCACACGTTCCAGGGCGCCGGCGAACAACGTAGAACACATTCCTCCGGAACGGGAACGAAACCCTGCTCAATCTCGAAACAAGTTGCCGTTATAAGATTTGGAAGCAACGATCGTCGCCGCTACAGTTCCAAGATTGGAACGCGTCATTATACTTTAACGTTATATTTGCGTATTTTTAATGATGTATCGAGCGGGATGATCCGCAGATAAAGTAAAGCGAGCAAAAAGATATCGACATCGAATTATACATGTAGAGTTACCAGGGTCCCATTTCTTCCGTTTCTTTGTTTTCGACTATCTCACAAACACTTCCCCATCCCTCGAAGTCGGATGTTAAAATAGTCGATACTAATAAAGCCCAAATGCCCACTAAATTCGTATAAAATTGCAGACTACGAGAGAAACTAGTTAACGCCGTTTCTCACACCCTTCTTTCGAAAAACTAACGGGTACCCGTTACAGTTACACCGATGCCAGACGGAACGGCGTCGCTCCTCCGTTCCTCCTAAAAGAAACGCCTCCAAGGAACGTCGTTCTTTGAAACCTCGCTCCGTACAACACTACTGCCGAAGTTGCAATTATCAGTTACGTGGCGGGTCTCCACCAGAGACGTGTGAATATATTCGCGACAGAGCTCTAACAATCGCAAACCTTCCAGTACATATCAAGTAGCCTATGAGCATTTCATTAAAAAATTATATTTACTGGTTTAACTTTCGTTTCCGTAACCTCTCTAATGTCATTCGGTGGAAAGGACCTCCAATTTTGCCGTGTGACAGGAATATTACCTCCACTGCAATTCGTCTGCCCAAGTTTCGCTTCGAGTGTCGTGCAAAACTCCCTTTCCCCTCCACCTCACTTTACTTCAATGCAAATGTCGTGTTCAGTTGTCATCAGGAAGGTGTTCGAATCTTTATACCCGCCTCAAGAGAACCTGCTAAAGGAACTCTGACAATGCATTAATGGTGTTTGCACGACTCAAATCGAATGAAAGTGTTAGTTGAACGACGCCCGGCAAGTCTGATATTGCGGAAACTCACGTTATTACGAAGAACAGCAAAATGCTTCACAGGTAGTGCTGTGGCAACGCGTCATACTGCTCGCAGGAGCCTGATTCATATATCACTGCGAGTTTCATCTCACAACAAAAGAGTCACGCTAACCGGCTTTTGAGTCAACCGCGGACTATCCAGCCACTGAACAAATTATTGAGCGTGAACGTCAGTCAACCTTAGAGCGTTATGCATTCCACTCTAGCAACGCTGGTCACGGTTCTCCTGCTCCAGGCCACAGCGCCGATCTCCGCCCCCGAAGAATGTCCGTACTGGAAAGACATCGTGGGTTCTCGTGGCTTTCGGGACCTGCTGCTTGATGCGACCAGCGTCGCGTACCTGGACGTCATATTCCCGCCAGAATTTGGAGTGGAAGAAATCCGTCTGCTTACCCAGCTCCTAAAGGTGCTACCAACTTCACAAACAATCTTCAGCACGCTTATCGACCTGTGCCATTTTAACTGCAGCACCATGGATAACCTACATATTGCGCTTCGTATATTCTGCAGAACAACTAATGCGTTGTACGTTGATTTTCTTACCTTTCCGCATTGGGCAAATCTGTGCACAGTAACCAGTAACCTGAGTGAATTTAGAATGAACAAATGGTATTCCCCTGTTGCAGGGAAGGACGATTTTGAAAAGCTTCGGCGCGGGGTGGATTTTCACATTGGCGTGCGCGATCAGCAGGTACTTCTGATGGGACAATACAACGTCAGGTGCCTAAACTGCACGTCAGGTAACCTACCCGACTTCCCCGGTAGACTGACCACAGACGAGCCTATTCTGGGACGTGAAATTACTATCGCGTGCCTGGAGCCGCTGATTTGCCGAAGTCCATCGTTTCGCACGTTAACGGAAAGTTTGCGTCACGACAACTGTTCCGTAAAAATAATTAAAATACAAAGTATGGATTCTCTTCTCTATTATTTGAATCAAAACGGGATTGACCCAGGAACGCTAATTTATGCTCCCTTTGTTTCTACGCAGGATCTCTACTTTCCAACAGTATCGACGCCTTCTTATTTTGATAGAAACGGTTTCGCAACGTTTGTCAGAGCGCTGGAGCCCTTGCCAAAGGAAGCTGTATTCTTCTTGCCCTTCAGCATCCTTGTCTGGGCGGCTCTCTTAGTCTGCTTCATTGTTTGTTCGCTGATCAGTTTCTTCCTCTACAGAGTGAGTGGGGTCAATCCAGACTTTCACGCTGTCGCGTCACCTCTTGCGGCGTCCCTGGTACAGCAAGCGTATCCCGTGCCTCCGGGCGCTGAAAATGTTCACTCGCTCAGGTTTCTTCTCGGGGTATGGTATCTGACGGTAACAGTACTGGCCACAGGGTACAAAGGAGTCATCACATCCCTGTTGTGTAACGTACCCCTGGTTGGGGAACTTACCGAGTACACGTCCTTGGACATGGCGAAGTCCATGGGCCCGGCTTTTTGCTTCGTGAACTTCCCGGAAGAACTCGTACATCGGGCTTGGCCCCACACGGACTACGAACAGACGGTCGAAAAAAATTACGATTGCGTGGACGGGTCAGGAAAGCTGCTTGCGAAAGCTGGTAAGAAGGCCTGGTTCGTTTTCAAGCCTAGCTCGGACGAGGCTGCTAGCATCAAAGAAGAGCTCTTTCGATTCGGCTTCGTGCAGACGGACACGTTCCTGTCGCCCGTAATCACGGGACCTCGGTTAAGATCGAATTCGCCGTACTACAGGTCCATAAAAAAAGTCTTGAGCCGTACTTTTGAAGCCGGTTTGTTTGCAGAAGCGGAGCGACTTGCAGAGTTCCAGAGTAGGGTTAGGCGTGAACAAAAGTACGGCCGGCCCTCGAATACCGAAGAGGAAACACTGGGACTAAGCGACTTCCGACCGTGCATTGTAATTTGGGCGGTCGGAATCGGCCTCAGCTTCCTCGCGTTTGCAGTTAGTCACGTGGTGGCCCACTTCCGCCCACCGCGTTCTCGCATGACTCGGCACGCTGTTCGCCGGGCCTGGTGATTTCGATGCATTTCAGAGAGGCTGGCAAGTCACCAGGCTGACTTCGTACGAGGATACCGCCGGAACCGTCGAAGCACAGCAACCCTGTTGAAAACGACAATCAAGCATTTCTTTTTTTTTCTTTTATTAGTCTATCAGCCTGATGGCCTGTCGTTTTTTAGGACGTTTGGACGTCTGGTGGTTTATATGGTCTAATAATTGGTTGGAATTTGTGTCCACAACTAGGAAGTGTCTCCAAGCTTTAAAGTGTTTTCAACTTTTATGCAACCCGAGTGCTTATGCTGTATTACAACACAATGTTTTGTATCATCTTGTGTTTTAAGCTGTGTTTGAGCATTTGTCTTTCTTCCAGAAGTGTTAAAGTGTTTGTATTCACAAATCGCGACTAAGAAGTGCACCACCCACATGCAGCACTAAAGTTGTTTCCGGCTGCGGTGTCTACTCGTAGTCATTGGTTGTTTCTTGTACGCGATAGCTCAAAATGGTTCACTCCTTTCGGCCGGCAACTTATTTTTTTATTTCTAACGTAATCTTTCCTTCTGTCCCCTATAAGTCTTTCAAACGTTTACGCACCACATATTACATTTTTCTAATAATTAACACAGTTTTAATCATATTTTGCTTTTCTCAAGAAATAAAATTAAAGATTAGCAACTTCCCGCGTTACTCAATTTGTGTGTTTCTTACTAGTTATCCACAACGCTTAAACTTATGTATTGTAGTGATATAAAATCGAGCTGTGTAGATATTAAAATTATTTCTATAACTTCTCTTTTAAAGTGTAAACATACGCTCTGTTCATAATTTAATACCTGCTTGCTCACGTGAATGGTAAAGTTATTACGCATATCTGTGTTACCATTCGAGTAAGTAATATAATGCAAAATGTTTGACCGAAAATCAAATCAAAATATCGAAAACGCTCGCTCCATTGACACTTTACACAAGCGCCAAATTACAGCATTACTGACCTTCTCTTGTCTTACCGAGATACGAAACCACTAAAACGGGTCTCGACAAGCCCCCCCCCCCCCCCCCCCCCCCCCCAAGGTCAATGCTGGAAAGAAGGACACAGTAGAATCTAATACCCGTGCCACACGGGCAACTTGAATGCCATTTACGACGAATGACATTTGAACGATCGGCCAATCAGCGCGCGACGCTCAGGGCGTGGCGCGTTCCACGCACGACAGATCGCGAGCTGATTCGCCAATCACACGAATGTCATTCGTTGTAAATGGCATTCGAGTTGCCCGTGTGGCACGGGTATAAGATGGCAATAACCTGGCCTTCTAGGGTAATAATTGTACGGTTCCAAGAGAAATACAACAAGAAAGACGACGAAGATAGAAAGAAAAATAGGAAACAGAAGAGGGAATAAATCTCCATTCCTATTGTGTGAGTGATTAAGAAACTTTACAACAATGAATTGAAGAAAACGGGATAAGAAGAAACGTAAACTGAACGTCGGTTATGGCGGTGCCCATGCACAGCTGTTGCTTTTTTTTAAACAAATCTGTAAAGCTTTAAAAAAACTGTATATTCGTACTGAATGGCGTGCACCGCCATGCCTCTGCTCGTACTGTCAAGTACGAGCATTTACAAGTTTGCCAATGATATACGTTGACGCGCAAGCTGCACACGCTTGCACACGTGTAGCACCAGTGAGGTGTTACGTCTGCAAATGTCTATAGGCCTCACCAACAAGGTCACGCGGATGTGATAACGAGTGTGAGGGAGGGAGCGAATCGACAGCCGCGTTGTTTGTTTTTAGGCACTTATCGTGACTGGGCGGAGAGGACTTGTGAGGCAGAAACGCCTTTTTCCTAAGGCACCTGAATAAGTTCAGTTCAGTTCAGAAAGCGTTTATTGGACTTTGGGGGAGGGAGAATGGGGCTGAGATCGGTGGCTTACAAGCCTGGATCTATGGCCAAGGGAAGGGGTTGAGGGGTTGAGGGGGGTTATAGATAGGCGGTGAGCCCCGCATCGTGGATGAAATCCACGAGCGTGGTCATAACTGCCCGACGTTTGTCGGGAGGGCCCTGAGGATGGACCCATTCCTCCATGCTGGCTACGTCTGGTGGTATGTGTTTTCGGCGAATCTCTTCCAGCTCCGGACAGTCCCAGAGTAAGTGGCTTTGGTCGGCAAGAAGGCTGGGGTCTTGACAGAAGCTGCAATGGGGTGATGTAGGTGGCTTGGTCCAATGCGTCCTGCGTGCCGGTGTGCATGTGGTGTTTGTGATTATCCTCCGGAGCAGCACCGTTGATCCCCTGCCCATTCCGCTCGGGAGCGGATTTACGCAGGGGGTCAGGGCTGCCCTCAGGGTCTGTCTTGAGGATTCTTTAACGAGCTGTTTTGCCTTCTCAGGGTCGTAGTCTGGGTCTTCGCCATCGTCGCCAAGCTCAGGCGGGAGCGAGTACCCGTGTTCTTGTAGGTGACTTGGCACACTACTCGGCTCGCGGGGGGAATCCAGATGCGCGCGGGCCATGCAGTGAGCTTGTACGTTGCCCTGAATGTCTGCGTGGGCAGGTATCCAGGACACTTTGATGGTTGTACCGGCTGTAATTAGGTCGGAGGCCATCTTTCGGATTGCCTTAACTCGCTTGTTCGGGGAGTGGCGAGAGCGACATTCTATTAATGCAGCCGCAGAGTCAGTGAAAATCTGTAGGTGTGTCGGTCGGATTTCCTTCTCGATGACGGTGCGCAGTGCCAGTTGGATAGCTCCAAGTTCTCCGCCCTTGACCGATGTGCCGCCGGGCAATGTTTCGGCCATGGTGATTCCTAGGCGGGGAATCACAACCGCAGCGGAGCAAATCGGTTTAGGGAAGGAGACGAAAGCCGCATCAGTGTATACTGCGAGCTTCTCATTGGTGTCCGTCCACTCTTGGACGAGTTTGCAGTGCTGTCGCACTTGGCAAGCTTGCTTGCCAGGGCGACTGGGCCCGGCTCCCCTTGGTACTGGTCGATCGTCCACGAGGCACACATCGTCGCTCCATGGGGGGTCAACCTCCGGGAGAGGGGGAAGGGCTCTGATATCTGAGCCGATCATCTCTAGGATTTGTCGTCCGGAGGCTGAGTGTTGGAGTCGCTCTAGATGAGCTCGTGCTCTCTCCTCTACGGTTTCTCGAGCCATGTTGAGCTTCGCGTGTGCCTTGAGCTTGTCTAGCGGTGTATATCGGGGGAGGCCAGTGACAATTCGAGCTGCGTTGTTGGTAAGGATTTCCAGTTTCTTCCATTGTGTGTTGGTAAGTCGGTAGTGGGGGGCACCGTAGCAGATGCGGGAGACGATGAGGGTTTTCACCATGCGGCGGGCAACTTCCTCGTCAGCGCCTCCTCTGGTGCCGCTGATCCTTCTAATGACGTTTAGTGCTGCCTGGCACTGTTGGGTGACCATTGTTAGCCAAGCCTTTGCGGTGCCATCCTCGTGGAATTGTAGTCCTAGGATGCGTACCTCAGGTGCTGATCTGATCGGTTGGCCCGCGAGAGTCAAGTGAAGAGTTGAGCTGATGTTCGCGTCCCTTTCCCGCCTGGGGGCTATGACTACGTAGGTTGTCTTATCCGGCGAGGCGGTTAAGCCTACGCTTTGGAGGTGACTTGTCACGACGTCGATCCCCCGTTGAAGGATGCGCTGTTGTTGCGGAACGTCGCCGCGCACTGTCCAGAGGGAAACGTCGTCCGCATAGATGGTGAAGTGGAGGTTGGATACCTGTTGCAGTCGACCGGGGAGACGCGCCATGGCCAAATTGAAGAGGAGTGGGGACAGAACTGACCCTTGTGGAACTCCCACTTTGTTCGGTTTTGGCGCTGCCAGGTGTTTGCCGATCCGGACCGCGAAGGTGCGAGTCTCGAGGAAAGACTTGATTAAATTTAGGGCGCGGCCTTCAATGCCGAGGGCGCGCGCTTCTTGGACAATTGCCCAGTGTGGGACGCTGTCGAATGCTTTTTTGACATCGATCGCGACGACTGTTCTGATTTTAAATTTCTGTGGAATGGGCTTTGGGATAAGATCTTTGGAGAGTAGGATAAGGCTTTCCTGCGTGCCCAGGCCAGTTTTGAACCCTGTCTGCGTCGGATGAAAGGCTTTCGTCCGCTCCAGATACCAGGAGAGGCGGCCGAGTAGCATTCTCTCCACCAGCTTGCAGACGCAGGAGGTGAGAGAGATTGGACGGAAGTTGGCTAAGGTGGTCGGCTTCTTGCCGGGCTTAAGCGCGAAACACACGTACGACCAAACCGTCCGATCCGACGTCCGACCGCGCAATACGACGGTCGGAGGCGAGGGTTTTCAACGCTCTCCGATGCTACGGAACCCCCTCGCCCCCCAAGGTCATACCGGCAGTCCGCACGTCGGATCGGACGGTTTGGTCGTACGTGTGTTTCGCGCTTTAGGAATTGGAATAACAGTGGAGAGTTTCCACTGGTCTGGAATGTTGCTAGTGCGCCACACTTCGTTAATGTCTTCAAGAAGCCGAGTTTTTGTGGCTTCGGGAAGGGAAGGTCCGGACGGAATAACCACCGCTATGCTCCGAAACCTTCCCGAAGCCACCTGAATAAGGAAGGTGGCGACATCATCTCCCTCCTCCTCTGACGCGCACACTCTTTATCTTTTTTCTTTGTCTTTCACTTTCGAACTCGCGCATGGACCGCAGCGCCGCCTGGATTGCTCCAAGATAGCAGGCGGCATTCTTCAAAGGGTGTCGCTACTTTTCCCTTTAAAGGGGCTTTACATTTTCCTCTTCCGCCCTGCCGGCCTAGGGCCTGCAGAAAAATGGAATCCCGCGACCGAACACTTCCAATCGAATTGTTATCTGGACGTCTGGACCTAACGCAGCCTTCATGGGATTCGTCCTACATGCTCCATCACGTCTGCTATCGATCGATCGCTACCGAAGGAACGCGGAACTCCGCCCAGTCCAAGCACGACCGGCGTCTCACACAACACGGCTCCTCAAAAACGATCGAATACGGTCACGTAGGCCGACTCTTATTTTTTGTCTGTCAACACTGCATCTTCGTAAATGAAGGAGTGGACAATTTATGAAAGATTAACAGCCGCTAGAAGGGGATGGCGTGTCAAATTTCAAGCCGTACAAATCGGATTCTTCCAGAACGCCGCGATTTTGAAACGCACAACGTCCAACACCATGGAAAATACCAAAGAATAAAATGTTTATTTTTCTTATTTAAGAAGCAAATATATAGCATTAAATGCTTTTTTAATGCTACCCCCAATCCCAAAATGTTGTCCGCCCGTCCGTTCATTTCTTCCTATACACGAATCCAGTTTCCTCGCTAAATTTAGTGGGAAAATTAACGTCACGTGAACCCACGTCACTTCACCTTTCCTTTATATTGATGATTGAATCTCTTTATTTGAAGGGTGGCTCGGTGACTTAGAGTAAGTATAAAAAAGAATAGGAGAAAATTACACTGCGTGGTCGACGCCGGTGGCGCATGCAAACGTCCATAACGCAAGAACCGTGCACGTGTCTTTTGCGCGTGCAGGGTTCTGGGATATTAGGAAGTTTTCGTAGACCGCGTTTCCCCCTCCGCTAAGCCCTCCGCAACGAAGCAGGCGCTACTGCGCCGGCGCGCCGATGGCTTTGACTGTAGAGTTCCGGCTAGCGTAGCTGGTTGCGGAGAACTTTGCGGGACAGCGGAAACGATCTACGAAAACTTCTTAATATCCACACTTGCATACTTTGAACGTCGGCGGTGACATGCTGGGCGGGGACTTGCTGCAGGCCGACGCACTCCCATAGTAGGTCGCAGATCGTCGGCCTGGCGCCTGTGTTCCACGTGAACCAGGGGTGCTATGTTGCGCTTTTTGCACTCCCAGGAGACTTGGAAGAAGGAAGTGACGTCAACGACTAGAGCAAACGCAGATTGGATGTTGACAGAAGAAAACAAAGTCAACATCCAACCTGCATTTGCTGCGTTGTTGACGTCACTTCCTTCTCCCTAGCCTCCTGGGAGTGCAAAAAGCGCAACATCGCCCCCCAGAACACCGGTGGTGTGAGCGACGAGGAGGCTTGATCTCCTTCGTCGTCACTGTGGTCTTTGCCGAGTAGTCGGCCTCTCTTTGGAATGTATAGTTCCCCCATTTGGCGAGTATGTCCTTGGTATAGGCCTCTCCGGCGCGAGCCTTGTGAATGAGGACCTGAGCGTTTAGGGGAAGCCGTGGAGCAGGGGTGCAGGGTTGAAGGGGGTGTGCTGGAGCCGTCGACGCCGGTCCGTCTCGCGGGCCGCAGCCTTCTACTCGTCAGGGTCGGGGTCCGATGGCGCGAAAGGCACTAGGATGTCCGGGTCTGAGCGGATGGCTTCTTGCTCGCTCGCACACACGTGCTTGGCCTCGTTGCCGCGACCGCCTGCATGCCCCGGTACCCCGTAGATTCGTACTTCCATTTCCTTGGTGGTGAGGAGCTCGGAGCAGAGGATCTTGATCCTTTCACAGAGCGTTCCTGTTCGAGGTGTCTTTCCTAGGCTGTTGAGTGCTTCTCGGCAATCCGTGTAGATGTTGATGCGTGTGGGTGACTCTGCTCCCGTCGAGGTCTGGAGAAGTTGGAAGAGGGCTAGATTATGGGCTTCCAGCTCGAGGCGGCTCACCCTTAGATAAGTATGTGGTGCTTTTCTGTTGAAAGCTTGTTGAAAAGAGTCATCAGAGGATATAAAATGTCAACAGCTCTCCATCTGACTTTCTCTAGCTGTTCATGTGACTTTATTTTGAATATTGGTGCACTTTTCAATAGAAAGTAAACAAACTTTCTGTCGCCTCCAAGAAACTTTTTCTGTAGCTTTTCAATTCACCTTTCTCCAGTAATCTTTTGCGCATGCGTACACCCGCTCTTCTAGCCTTGCTGCCCGCTTTCGCCATTTTTGCAGGGCAGAGTTCCGGTCGACCAGCATATTCAGCCCCTATCTTTGCGAGTATTTCGTCGCTTGGCTATGATCAAGATTGGCAGCATATCATTGGCTACAGATCACGTGGCCGCTTGTTCTGACTGCGTGTTGAGGGGGTGAACGGCACTCGTTTTAGAGCGCAGCTCTTAGGCGCCCGTTTCCGGCTTGAGCGGCGTCGCTGTCGCTTTCGCCGTTGGCGTCGACGTAACCGCACGGCGCATTGTGGGAAATGTCCCATAATGCACCGCGCGGGAAGGAGGAGGAGGAGGGAGAGGAGGAAGAGGGGGAGGGGAGAAGGAGGAAAGGAGGAAGCACGAGGAGAAGAGGGGAGGAGCTTGAAGGGGGAGGTGAAGGAGGAGGAGGAAGAGGGGAGGAGGAGTAGCAGGGAAGATGAGGTGGTGAGGAAGAGGGGTATACCCTCCCCTCAGTACCCTTCCCTCCTCCTCCTCAAGAGCTGCGCTCCAATTAGGCGTAACAGGGTGTTGTAAACGTCTTTAATTTTTTCTTCGACTTCGATTGCGTGTGGCGAAAAACGAATGGGTGTTTGACAGGTCATAAACATCAGGGATCCGTTCTAAGCGGTATTAGCGCAAAGTACAAACATTGTTCCATCGCCAAAAACTAAAGTGAGCAGTTTAAGCATAACTACAATAAAGAAGTATAACCAAGAGAAAAGTAGAACTACTGGCACACGAACGCCTTGAATTCTAGCGCCTTCCGAGCGGCGAATAAAGTGCTTTGCTATTTCGGCCCAATTAAGCAAAATCAAAATTCAACATAACAACCGCCACAAAAAAAAAAAGGAAAAAACGGGTTTTAGGTATTTTCTTTTCAGGAAATCCTTATTGCGGCCATTTTCAGCCGCCGGGAAGTACAGCCTCACTCGTCAACAAACCGGCCCAGGAATCGTCCGGGTCTCAATCGCCACCCCTGCGCGACTGGATGAGCATCGTACCGGCGGGCGGTCGTTCCTGTAATACTACAGCGTGATGCACGTTGAAGACCCCAGGCTAAAAGTGGCACTGGACTGGCTGTCTGCAGAGAGTCCTTGTGTAATCAATATGTGACAGGCGACGTACAAGAAAGAAACACGTTTCAGACAGTGACTGCAGATCGTCTTTTGTGCGATGCATTCGCGGTGTGACCGCGACTTTAATGGTGTGTAATAGTTGACTGTGTAGCAGCTGGCGCCCATTTTTGTCACCCAATCATTCTGTAGGCACTGATGTATTATTTGAAAAAAAGTTTTATGAGTGAATTAATGCCCACTAAATTCGTATAAAATTGCAGACTAAGAGAGAAACTAGTTAACGCCGTTTCTCACACCCTTCTTTCGAAAAACTAACGGGTACCCGTTGCAGTCACACCGATGCCAGACGGAACGGCGGCGCTCCTCCGATCCTCCTAAAAGAAACGCGTTCAAGGAACGTCGTTCTTTGAAACCTCGCTCCGTACAACACTGCTGCCGAAGTTGCAATTATCAGTCACGTGGCGGGTCTCCACCAGAGACGTGTGAATATATTCGCGACAGAGCTCTAACAATCGCAAACCTTCCAGTACATATCAAGTAGCCTATAAGCATCTCATTAAAAAAATATATTTACTGGTTTAACTTTCGTTTCCGTAACCTCTCTAATGTCATTCGACGGAAAGGACCTCCAATTTTGCCGTGTGACAGGAATATTACCTCCACTGCAATTCGTCTGCCCAAGTTTCGCTTCGAGTGTCGTGCAAAAAAAACTCCCTTTCCCCTCCACCTCACTTTACTTCACTGCAAATGTCGTGTTCAGTTGTCATCAGGAAGGTGTTCGAATCTTTATACCCGCCTCAAGAGAATCTGCTAGAGGAACTCTGACAATGCATTAATGCTGTTTGCACGACTCAAATCGAAGGAAAGTGTTAGTTGAACGACGCACGGCACGTCTGATATTGCGGAAACTCGGGTTATTACGAAGAACGCAAAATGCTTCATAGGTAGTGCTGTGGCAACGCGTCATACTGCTCGCAGGAGCCTGATTCATATATCACTGCGAGTTTCATCTCACAACAAAAAAGTCACCCTAACTGACTTTTGAGTCAACCGAGGACTATTCAGCCACTGAACAAATTATTGAGCGAGAACATCAGTCAACCTTAGAGCGTTATGCATTCCACTCTAGCAACGCTGGTCACGGTTCTCCTGCTCCAGGCCACAGCGCCGACCTCCGCCCCCGAAGAATGTCCGTACTGGAAAGACATCGTGGGTTCTCGTGGCTTTCGGGACCTGCTGCTTGATGCGACCAGCGTGGCGTACCTGGATGTCATATTCCCACCTGAATTTGGAGTGGAAGAAATCCGTCTGCTTACCCAGCTCCTAAAGGTGCTACCAACTTCACAAACAATCTTCAGCACGCTTGTCGACCTGTGCCATTTTAACTGCAGCACCATGGATAACCTACATATTGCGCTTCGTATATTCTGCAGAACAACTAATGCGTTGTACGTTGATTTTGTTAACTATCCGCATTGGGCAAGTGTGTGCACAGTAACCAGTAACCTGAGTGAATTTAGAATGAACAAATGGTATTCCCCTGTTGTAGGGAAGGACGATTTTGAAAAGCTTCGGCGCGGGGTGGATTTTCACATTGGCGTGCGCGATCAGCAGATACTTCTGATGGGACAATACAACGTCAGGTGCCTAAACTGCACGTCAGGTAACCTACCTGACTTCACCGGTAGACTGACCATAGACGAGCCCATTCTGGGACGTGAAATTACCATCGCGTGCCTGGAGCCGCTGATTTGCCGAAGTCCATCGTTTCGCACGTTAACGGAAAGTTTGCGTCACGGCAACTGTTCCGTAAAAATAACTAAAATACAAAGTATGGATTCTCTTCTCTATTATTTCAATCAAAACTTGATTGACCCAGGAACGCTAATTTATGCTCCCTTTGTTTCTACGCCTGATCTCTACTTTCCTACAGTATCGACGCCTTCTTATTTTGATAGAAACGGTTTCGCAACGTTTGTCAGAGCGCTGCAGCCCTTGCCAAAGGAAGCTGTATTCTTCTTGCCCTTCAGCATCCTTGTCTGGGCGGCTCTCTTAGTCTGCTTCATTGTTTGTTCGCTGATCAGTTTCTTCCTCTGCAGAGTGAGTGGGGTCAATCCAGACTTTCACGCTGTCGCGTCACCTCTTGCGGCGTCCCTGGTACAGCAAGCGTATCCCGTGCCTCCGGGCGCTGAAAATGTTCACTCGCTCAGGTTTCTTCTCGGGGTATGGTATCTGACGGTAACAGTACTGGCCACAGGGTACAAAGGAGTCATCACATCCCTGTTGTGTAACGTACCCCTGGTTGGGGAACTTACCGAGTACACGTCCTTGGACATGGCGAAGTCCATGGGCCCGGCTGTTTGCTTCGTGAACTTCCCGGAAGAACTCGTACATCGGGCTTGGCCCCACACGGACTACGAACAGGCGGTCGAAAAAAATTACGATTGCGTGGACGGGTCAGGAAAGCTGCTTGCGAAAGCTGGTAAGAAGGCCTGGTTCGTTTTCAAGCCTAGCTCGGACGAGGCTGCAAGCATCAAAGAAGAGCTCTTTCGATTCGGTTTCGTGCAGACGGACACGTTCCTGTCGCCCGCAATCAGGGGACCTCGGTTAAGATTGAATTCGCCGTACTACAGGTCCATAAAGAAAGTCTTGAGCCGTACTTTTGAAGCCGGTTTGTTTACAAAAGCGGAGCGACTTGCAGAGTTCAAGAGCAGGGTTAGGCGTGAACAAAAGTACGGCCGGCCCTCGAATACCGAAGAGGAAACACTGGGACTAAGCGACTTCCGACCGTGCATTGTAGTTTGGGCGGTCGGAATCGGCCTCAGCTTCCTCGCGTTTGCAGTTAGTCACGTGGTGGCCCACTTCCGCCCACCGCGTTCTCGCATGACTCGGCACGCCGTTCGCCGGGCCTGGTGATTTCGATGCATTTCAGAGAGGCTGGCAAATCAGCAGGCTGATATACGTATACGAGGATACCGCTGGAACCGTCGAAGCACAGCAACCCTGTTGAAAACGACAATCAAGCATTTCTTTTTTTTTTTCTTTTATTAGTCTATCAGCCTGATGGCCTGTCGTTTTTTAAGACATTTGGACGTCTGGTGGTTTATATGGTCTAATGATTGGTTGGAATTTGTTTCCACAACTAGGAAGTGTCCCCAAGCTTTAAAGTGTTTTCAACTTTTATGCAGCACGAGTGCTTATGGTGTATTACAACTAAATGTTTTGTATCATCTTGTGTTTTAAGATGTATTTGAACATTTGACTTTCTTCCAAAAGTGTTAAAGTGTTTGTATTCACAAATCGCAGCTAAGAAGTGCACCATCCACGTGCAGCACTGAAGTTGTTTCCGGCTGCGGTGTCTGCTTGTAGTCATTGGCTGTGTCTTGTACGCGTTCGCTCAAAATGGTTCGCGTTCGCTCAAACGCGTTCGCTCAAAACTTATTTTCTTATCTCTAACGCAATCTTTCCATCTGCCCTCTATAAGTCTTTCAAACGTTTACGCACCACGTATTACATTTTTCTGATAATTAACACAGTTTTAATCGTATTTTGCTTTTCTCAAGAAATAAAATTAAAAATTAGCAACTTCCCGCGCTACTCAATTTGTGTGTTTCTTATTAGTTACCCATAAAACTTAACCTTACGTATTTTCGTGATATAAAATCGAGCTCTGTAGATATTAAAAACTTTCTGTTAACATTTGAACACGTTGCCTTTACGACATTTCTTTTGATAACTTCTCCTTTAAAGTGTAAACGTGCGCTCTGTTCATAATTTATTACCTGCTTGCTCACGTGAATGGTAATGTTGTTACGTATATGTGCGTAACCATTCAAGTAAGTAATATAGTGCAAAATGTTTGACCGAAAATCAAATCAAAATACCGAAAACGCTCGCTCTATTGACTCTTTGCACAAGCGCCAGATTACAGCTGCCATTAGGACCTTCTCTTGTCTTACCGAGATACCAAACCACTAAAACGGCTGTTGACGAGCCCCCACAAAGGTCAATACTGGAAAGAAGGACACAGTATAATCTAAGATCGCAACAACCTGGCCTTCTAGGGTAATAATTTAACGGTTCCAAGAGAAATACAACAAGGAAAACGACGACGATAGATAGAAAAATAGGAAACAGAAGAGAGAATAAATCTCCGTTCCTATCGTGTGAGTGATTAGGAAACTTTACAACAATGAATAGACCTTTTCCAAAATGCAGTCTGACCACTTTGATCACTATCATCATCTGTGGAACGGCATCTGTGCCATACCAATGGCGGCCTTCTAGTGACTGATAAGCAACCTCCTTGCTGATAAAGGAAGACGTTGAAGATGCTCCTAAGCGGATGATGCGAGGCCTGTACATTCGGGAGTTTTGTACGACGCGATGTAGGAATGAAACACAAGAGCTTCATAAGCGTTCATTTCTAATAACTCAGATTCAGTCAATCTGTGGACGGCATACAATCGGCTTTAAAGCCCTTTGGTGTATAGAATGCTCTGGAGGCATCGGTGTGGGTTAGAGCCACTCTATATGGCAGCGTAGCTGCCAGAGTAGCGACACGACGCAAAATTATCTAGATTTACGACATCAGAAGCGCCTATAGTGATCTCCATTTTGAGCCTGAGGGGTTTCTATGGTAACTGTACTGCTAGCGACGCCGGGCGGCAACCTTTATCTAGTTGATATCTCCATTCGTTAATTGAAAAGTGGTAAAAGACCTAAAGGACGCTTTCTATGGCGGTACGGCACGGGCCTCTGGAGGAGCGGTGCCTGTTTCTTCTGAAATGAGACGATTTGCAGCGTGCACGGACAAGGATAGTGGTTTTCTGCGCCGCCGGGATGGCGGCGGCTTCGTGGGACGAACGTACCGTCCTTGTACTTTCAGACTTCGCTCCTATGGAACAAACTCCGATTACGCCGGCCACGACAGGACAATTGCCTTGGGACATGACTGCTGCTCGACTGCCCCATAGTAAGAAAATGTATGCTTAGCACCATAATTCTTCAAGACCCAATCATTCATTCAAGTCGAGATTATGTCACCGACTGGCGGGGAGCGACGTCAACGACGGTACCAACCTCGTTTTGGGCGATGAACAGTCGACGGGGTTAAACCAAGAAGGACAGCACGGTGGTCTACAGAGGATTGTTAACGCCATCAAAAGAGCCGGACGCCGGATATGAGGTGCTTTTCCCGACAGGCCAAGGGGTCGCCCGGAAGTTTACCGGCATGCAAAATGTCAATATTTTATATCTGGTGTAGCACTCATACCCGTGTTAAAGGGGCCATGAAATGATTCTTTAACTTCTTCCTTAGCTTTAATCCTCAACTCAAAAGAGAACAGTGGAATCACGCGGTCGTGACATGCTAGAGCACTGGTGCGATGACCCCAAGCTTCCACCGTGCTTTTTAAGCACACCATAGAACTTGTCATTCGCAAGTGCACTCATGTGCACTCATTGGCCACGAACGCGAATTCAAATATTCATCGACGAATTGATTGTTGACGAGCGCATACGTCCGAGTGACGCAGTTTCGTTTCAAATGTGTGACCTGGGGTCGGCTGGCGTCATTTTGGCTTTTGTAGGCATTGCAGGGAGGGTATTTAGAACCATACACACATAATGATAGCATCATAGCACACATACATTAATGAATACAAAAGGGGCCCAGTTATAGAAAATAAATGTTGCACTCGTAAAAAATAATTGTCTGTAACTTGTTAATTACAAAGACGAACACACCTCTGAGCATATAAATTTAATAGTGTGTGTTGATGCATTCTTATAGAGCAGGTCATTTCATATACGTCATTTGAGCAAACGCCAGCTTGTCACTTGAAAAAAAAAAAAAAAACACTGCAATCAAATGCAAGCTATTGCAACGAAAGTACGTTTATCAAAGTATTCAGAACTGTCAATTTGTAAAATCGTCGATTAGTACAAAAGCTTAAAGGTCGCAGGCGCTTCCTCGCTTAAAGTTGCTGTGATTATTCGGTGACCCAGGGCTGAAACAACTTCCCCTAGGCCCTACATACGACGTATACCTTTCGTTTCGATTCTCAGAAATTCCAACATTCAAAGGGAGCTAGAAAATGCAAAAATGTTATCCTAAAAGCTGTATTGTAAGATCGTTGATTAGTACAAAACGTAAAGATCGCAGGAGCTTCCTCGCTAAAAGTTTGTGATTACGCGGTTACCTGGGACTGAAACAACTTCCCCGAGGTCCAACATACGACGCATACAATTCGCATTGATTCTCAGACATTCCAACGTTCAAACAAGGCTAGGCGTATGCGAAAATTGCATGTAAAATGTCTTATCGATCCTCGAACACATCCAGGAATACGAGCACCGCTACGGCGATATGACTGATGCTGTCGCACAGGTGCTAATATCCAGAGCGATTTTGCACAGAAAAGGTATAAAGTCACTTTCTTTTAGATCTTCACGTTATACCTGCGTCAGAGAGCACGAAGAAGTCCGAAATCGTCGGCAAGCAGGGGCACATTACGACTACCGCGCGCCGAACAAACTCGTATCCACCAGCTCTGGGCGCTGCCATTTTACCGGTGACATCACGGCTCTTGCGAGGCCACGTGACGAGTAGTCACTCGGTTGCTCAGGGAACCGAGCCAGCTCAGCTCGTTGCTATGGTACCGCGTTTGACCAATCACGGTGAGAGGCGGCACAGGGAAAAGCGTGG